ATTCTGTTTATTGCTGTAATGTAGCTGGTATTTTTCGATTTCACCCTGCATAAGAATTCTCTTGATCGCCTGTTCAGTTAAATCGACTCAAAATTATCCAAATATACAAAGTATTGTCAAAATATGAGTATTAAGCTGTTATGAGGAGCGATTTGAAGACTTTTGGGGAAAAAGTAATGGCAAAGAGAAATATAGCAAAAAGTATGCGAAAAGCTAGGACAGTTTTGCCTGAGAATGCTCTGCACCTTTCGCTGCATGATGATCGCGTCGGTGTTTACCACTATGCCATGATCTCAACGATGGAAACAGGTAACAAATTACAATATATTTCAATATTTTGTTTTGCTTTGGATACTAGCTGTTAATATGTAGATTTTTTGGATTTCACCCTACATAAGATTCTCTTCATCGTTATACATCGTTGTACATGCCCTCGTCATCGTGGGTTAAATGGACTCAAAATTGTCCAAATATACAAAATATTATCAAAATGTGAGTATTGAGCTGTTATGAGGAGCGATTTGAAGACGTTTGGGAAAATATAATGGCAAAAAGAAATGAAGAAAAAATTACACAAAAAACGTTACTATAGAGTTTTACCCAGGAATGCTCCACAACTATCGATCATGATGGCCTCGGTGTTTACCACTATACCATGACCTCAGCGATAGAAGTATAGTTTATAAATTACATTACTTGAATATTCTGTTTATTGCTGTACTGTAGATAGTATTTTTCGATTTCACCCTGCATAAGAATTCTCTTGATCGCCTGTTCAGTTAAATCGACTCAAAATTATCCAAGTATACAAAGTATTATCAAAATATGAATATTAAGCTGTTATGAGGAGCGATTGGAAGACTTTTGGGAAAAATTATAGCAAAAAGAAATGAAGAAAAAATTATACAAAAAATGTTACTAGAGTTTACCAAGGAATGCTCCACAACTATATCGCTCAAAATGGCCTCGGTGTCTACCACTGTGCCATGACCTCAGCGACAGAAGTATTGTTTATAAATTACATTACTTGAATATTCTGTTTATTGCTCTACTGTAGATAGTATTTTTCGATTTCACCCTGCATAAGAATTCTCTTGATCGCCTGTTCAGTTAAATCGACTCAAAGTTATCCAAATATACAAAGTATTGTCAAAATATGAGTATTAAGCTGTTATGAGGAGGGATTTGAAGACTTTTGGGAAAAAGTAATGGCAAAGAGAAATATAAAAAAAAATTATGCGAAAAGTTACTGGAGTTTTGCTTGGGAATGCTCCGCACCTTTCGCTGATGATGGCCTCGGTGTTTACCACTATGTCATGATCTCAACGATGGAAACAGGTAACAAATTACAATAAATATTTCAATATTTTGTTTTGCTTTGGATACTAGCTGTTAATATGTAGATTTTTTGGATTTCACCCTACATAAGATTCTCTTCATCGCTATGCATCGTTGTACATGCCCTTGTCATCGTGGGTTAAATGGACTCAAAATTGTCCAAATATACAAAATATTATCAAAATGTAAGTATTAAGCTGTTATGAGGAGCGATTTGAAGACTTTTGGGAAAAATAATAGCAAAAAGAAATGAAGAAAAAATTATACAAAAAATGTTACTAGAGTTTGCCAAGGAATGCTCCACAACTATATCGCTCAAGATGGCCTCGGTGTCTACCACTGTGCCATGACCTCATCGATAGAAGCAAAGTTTATAAATTAGGCCTATATTACTTGAATATTCTGTTTATTGCTTTACTCACTAGATTCTATTTTTCGACTTCACCCTGCATAAGAATTCACTTGATCGCCTGTTCAGTTAAATCGACTCAAAATTGTCCAAATATACAAAATATTATCAAAATGTGAGTATTGAGCTGTTATGAGGAGCGATTTGAAGACTTTTGGGAAAAAATAATGGCGAAAAGAAATAAATAAAAAATTATACAAAAAACGTTACTAGAGTTTTGCCCAGGAATGCTCCACAACTATATCGTTGATGATGGCCTCGGTGTTTGCCACTATGTCATGATCTCAACGATGGAAACAAGTAACAAATTACAATATATTTCAATATTCTGTTTTGCGTTGGATACTAGCTGTTAATATGTAGATTTTTTGGATTTCACCCTACATAAGGTTCTCTTCATCGCTATACATCGTTGTGCATGCCCTCGTCATCGTGTGTTAAATGGACTCAAAATTGTAGAAGTATACAAAATATTATCAAAATGTGAGTATTATCGTGATTAATACGGTATTTTCAACTGTTTTGTTCTGTTATCTCGCAATAGAGGAACAAATCAAGTCAAATATGGTATTTTAAGCAAAAGCACATGTTCAAGAATGTTGGGGACCTCTTTTACATTCAAATGAACTCAATCGTAAAGAAACGTGTCTATATTTTTGACGACGTTTCTGAGTGCGACTGAGATGAATCATGAATACAGTCGTGACAACACCTTTCAGATAGGAATTTCTGATAGAGATCGGTGAATTATACCATAAGTTAACACATGAGATATGAAGAAATTGGTCATGAACTTTATTGTTTTGGAAATGGTGAATTTTAATATGGACAAGATCATAATATACTCATATCACCTCATATTTGTTTCTATCAACGCAAACAAATTATGTCGCTTGTGGGATTTGTTAAAGGAACAAATGATTCAGGATGGTAGAAAAAGTAGCAGGTGCGTTGTAGTGACCTTATTTATGTTAATGGTGGGTGCTTAAACGCAATGCCTTGTGAGAATATATACCATCCCATCCCTGCTTGTGTAATATGACAATGTTCCTTATTAAAGTCATAGTCATAGTCATGATTATAAATTATCACTCTTCTGAGAAGACCTCAATGGTGTTTTATTCCAAAGAAGCAGATTAAAATTAATAATTTGAAAGAAATTGAAAGTTGTAAAATAATGGTATCTCATTTCTGTGCTTTTTAGATCCTATAGAGACAGTATAAAGTGAAGATGGAACAATGCTGCAAACAGTTACTTTCAGTTGCATGTCTATATATGCATTATATTGCATTGTATAAAAACAAACAAATCTTCCCCCAAAGTCCAGGAAATGGCATTTCAGAGACTTTAAATATAAAAATTTCCTCGGGCCTTCGGCCCTCGCTTTCAGCCCCCCAATCGAAAAGAGCTTCCTATGGCCGTGCCTTAAAAGAGGTCCTGAACCAAATGTTATACCTCATAGCAATATGTATTATTAAAAGCAATGCATGAAGCTAGAAAACTCAACGTTAACTATAATTAAAGAATCTAAATAATATAAGCTATTGAAAAAAAAATGCTGCGAAAGAGTGGCAGAAAAAATCGTACATGGTGATGGGATAGAAAAAAAACTTGCACTTGATCCCAGAAAAAAATTCCCTGCCAGCAGTAAATCACACCTCAAAAGTTAAATGGTCGGCCTTTAAAGGGTATGAGCAACAAAAATTGCTTCATCTATCTTATTGCTTCGTCTGAAAGTGCATGAAAAAATAAGCCGATTGGCCGTTTAATGCTCTATTCTATCTCATCTGGTTCCGAAGTTATACGCAAAAATGTGCAAAATATAAATTGCTGATTCAGCACAACGTGTGACGTCATTAGCTGGGTAAGTATGTTTATTGAATACTACACTGAAGCATAGCTCAGTTATTATGGGCCCAAATCAAATGAAATTTTGCATACTGATTGTACATGATGAGACGCATGGAAAACACTTCTAATTTTGTTGCCAAGGTAACAATGTCGTTCCCAGGAAGTTAATTTTCTATAGTAAATAGACTGAATATATCGGCATGACACAATTTGCCGCGTGTTTCCTCTCTGTACCATCTCTTCTCTGTGTCAAGGTGGTCACAAGGTAAGATGGCGGCCGCGCGCGACTTCCGGCTTCAATTTCTGTATCTATAGTTGCGCTCTCCACCAGATGATCTTGATACGCGGAAAAGTACTGGCACTAGTTGTCAAATAGAAATCCATTTTATGATTAAAACAACTGAATATTTCCTGTAATATACTTTATTTCGATTCCATATTTTTGTCAGAGTTAGAGTTCTCATAACCGAACATAATTACAAAATTTCAACTAGTTTCATAAAGAATAACGAAAAATATAATTGACTGAATACATCAAAATGGATTTCTATTCGGACAACCCTTCCTGAGCGCTGATTGGCTAAAATACGAATACGAGATCACCTGGCATGTATTATACAGCTCAGTGGTCATAGGCCGTGGGCTGTTGTGCGAAAAAGTGCCTAGAAAAGCAATTTCGTGGCACCCCCCTGGGAAATAGATTTTCTGTGGTTCAATTCATAGAACCATATATGCTTAATTACCACAAAAAGTTTCCAAGCAAAAAACTTGCCCAACACCGAGAAAATGGGTGATCAGTGATTGTCCTCTATTAAATTGTATTACAGCAAGAAAATGTGAAATTTTGTATTCAGTTACAACAAAAATGACTTGCATTATCAGAAAGCTTACAAAAACCTACATATAAGACATTTAAACAGTTTTTTTTATATCTAAAATTGTTTTCGAGTTATACGCTGTCAAACGCGTTTTTGACCTAGTACCCAGTCCTTATTGCGACATTTTGGTCCAATTTTCACATTTAAAACAGCAATAACTCAAAGACTATTTGAAAAATCAAAAAACTGTTTAAAAGTCTTATATGCGGTTTTTTGTACGTTTTAATAGAGGATACAATTTAATAGAGGATAATCATTGATCACCCATTTTCTCAGTATTGGGCAACTTTTTGCTTGGGAACTTTTTTTTTGGCAGTGATGTACCTATATGCCTTTCAAATAAACCCCAAACCAAGTATTTCCCACATGGGTGCCACGAAGCGAAATAATTTTGGCCAACAGCCCACGGCCTATCAGGCTCCATTTCAAATTATTATAGCTCAGTGACACAGATCAACGCCTGGGCTCCCTGTAGGTGGCGCGAAGATTGGAACTATCTCGTTATAAATACACAATGTGATATTCCGTTTCAAAAACAAAGAAAGTTTCGAACTGTTTCTTTACTTAAAGAAACGTGTTCTACAGTCGTTCAGAAACGCTGCTGAGTGTATAAGAAGTCACGGCAAGATTTGGACAACATTTTAAAGCGATGATAGAAGAAATCGAATGTGCATGCGAGTTTTTGTATGCGAGCATTCGTGCGCAGAGTGGCACAATGTTGACAGAGGAACAGTTAACGAATTATAAAGCAGTTTTAAAACAATTGATCGTCGACAAATTCACGAATCATTGGTATCCAGATAAACCGATGAAAGGGAATGGCTTTCGTTGCGTGAATATGGACGCAAACGTTGTCGACCCGATCATACAAGAAGCTGCTGATCTAAGCAATATATCGAAAGACATTTTCCTTTTGGTGTTTCGTTTTGGACTGGCACTGTGGATTGATCCGGGAGATGTGTCGTTCTGTACTGGTCGTTGCTCAAACATCGTTACGCTTTATAAATCAACTACGCATTTCAGTTGTATACCAATTCATAGATACCAACTTCCTATTCCGAATTCGCAATTCTATCCGCCCGTTTACACAATTGCAGCGAACACAATGGACTTATGGAAGTGCAAGAATTTGATTTCATATCCACAACTTACGAGCTGGCAACTGAGACAAATACTTGAACGTCTTAGTCGTGAAAGCTTTTACCAGTACTGGGCAGGCGTACATTAAAACTAGCTCCTATTTTATTAAGCAGGTGACTCAAGTAACAAAGCAAATGACTAAAATTTATATTGGTGTAATTTTATATTAAATATGTTTTTGAATATCTCTAGAATAGTGTTCATATTTCACGGACATGTGTTAAGTTAATATCGTGATAGCTTTTACTGGGCAAAGCACAAACTATTTTATTAAACAGGTGACTCAAGTGACAATTAAAATTTATATTGGTGTAATTTTATATTAAATATGTTTATAGAATATAATCTCTATGTTATGTTATAAAAGGAATTGGTGTATTTCAATTATTTGGAAGAGTTTTTCTATATTTCGTAATTAGAAAATTTGATCTTCATATTTTTTGGCGCTCAAATTGGTGCCACGTGACGTCATTTCAAGAACAAGTCAGAACAACCAGTGTGACCAGATTTGGTAAAAAGTTTTACTTTTGGTAAAATTTCGTGAATTTTCAAGAAAATTTGGTAATAAGTTTCTTTTTGGTAAAATTTTTCTAAAATCTGAAAATTGGTAATGTTTTTTTTGGTAAAATCTGAAAGGTTTTAATTATTAACAATCATTTTGGTAAAAATGTGTGTTTCTTGTTTTATAATAACGTGCTCAAAGTGATGAACAGAACTGCCAAGCCTACGAAATAAACATTAGCAAAAACTGCAATACGATGAAAGTAACAAGTATTTCAACATACCTTTTTGGGCATACTTTGATGACACAACTATTGTTTTTTGGCATTATTATAACGTAATTATTTGGGAAGACCTGACCGCGTAGCTCAGTTGGCAGAGCATTGGGCTAGTATTCTAAAGGTCGTAGATTCGATTCCCACCGTGGCCAGGCATATTTTTCAAGCTTGCCCGGCGTGGTATACACTCAGAGTGACAGCACAAACATCATATTCACCTGAGTACATTACACCAACACAGAAGGAATCCTGATTCTAATTAGTTTGGAAGTGCAGAAAAACGGTCAAACCATGTTTAGTTTTTATTGCAAATCAGGGTTAGGGAATTAGGACCAAATAATGTCAAGGGGAAACAAAAAGAGACAATTTGCAAGTAATTAACTTTGTAAGTATCTGCCTGGAAAATTCTTCATGAACTGTAGTGATATTGTTTGAATGATGAGTACACAAGATGATTTCAATATTTTCTAACGCAATTTTCTAAACATTTACCAGACAACAACTCACTTGCAATAGTAACTTCTAGTACTATAAATAGCGACAGTGGCGCAACTTTATATCAGGTGGCCCCCGGTTCAAAAGTTTCGAAGGCCCCCTAGTAGAAGTGCCAGGGCTTGCTCATCCGGAAAATTTTTGCATCTAGACTCTCTGAAATGCTATTCCCTGGACTTTGGGGAGAGATTTTACAGAATTCTGATGGTCAGAAAACGACATTGTAACATATCAGAGGCCCTGGCCAATGTTTTTGCCCTATCGCCTAAGCCGGGGGCACCCATTTGGCCCATTGGCGTTGGGGGCCCATTAGGGTTGGGGGCCCCCGGTCTGAGCCCACAGTAGTTACGCCACTGAATAGCGAGTCTGTTGACGATTCTGATATTGAATCATAGTGAGCATGCCTAAATGTATTGCTTTCAACATTTGAGTTGGTTGCACAACTGCTGTAATATGATTAAGGCAGAGATTTATTTTATTTAATGGCAATCTGAAACGATATTTCTAGGGATACATCTATATAGGTTGTATACTAATTCTAGTTTGCAGCTTGTTTCTTCTGAGAAAGATTAATTTTATCACCCAAGCTCAATGCCATGCCCTAAAAGAAAACAAAATTAATCTATTCAGTTTTCTCAAGTTCATGTCACCAAAGCACCGTTTACACCACGCTCAATTTTTGGTACGACACGGATAAAATTGGTGCCCGTATTTAGGTAGTCCAATAACCAAAAAACTGGTACAGGCACGGTACCAAAAATTGAGCGTAGTGTAAACGGGGCTTAAGGTTCAGAATTCTGTCATTAGTCATGTATAATATTCCGGGATGCTCCAATTCGTTCATTTTCATAATCGATCGTTCTTTAACAATAGATTAATATTTTGTGTGTTTTTTGGTCTGATGTACTCTGGTGAATATATAATATTTTTGATGTTACTCTGAGTGTACATCCACACCGGGCAGGCTGAAAAGTTAGCCTGACCACGGTGGGACTCGAACCCGCGACCTACCCATTATATTCACCTGAGTACGTAACACCAAAACACACCCAAAATATCATGATCATAGAACACTTTGGTATCGAAGATACTAGACTTAGGTCCGAAATACCACACACTCGAACAGACTTGGCCTCGTAGCTCAGTTCGATTCCCACCGTGGCCAGGCCAGGGATGAATTTACTGGGAGGGGGTGCACTCCCGTCCCCTAGCCCTGGCCAGAGGGAGTGCAGGGGGGGGGGGTGCGATACAGTAATTTGAGTATACAGTAATTTGAGATACAGTATTTGAGAAAATGAGATACAGTAATTTGAGTAATATGATAAGCGAACTGTGAACAACAATATACAATTCAAATACATTCACACCTGCCCTGTGTGGATATACACTCAGATTAATATTGATGAATAAGATGCTTGTGATGTTACTCTGAGTGTATATCCACACCGGGCAAGCTTGAAAAATATGCCTGACAACGGTGGGAATCGAACCTACGACCTTTGGAATACTAGCCCATGTATGTGATATTTCGGAACAGAATCTAGTTTCTTCGATATCAATGTAATCTAATAATCATACTCGAACCGATCTGACCGCGTAGCTCAGTTGGCAGAGCATTGGGCTAGTATTCCAAAGGTCGTAGGATCGATTCCCACCGTGGCCAGGCATATTTTTCAAGCTTACCCAGTGTGGATATACACTCAGAGTAACATCACAAGCATCATATTCACCTGAGTACATTACACCAACACAGAAAAATCATTATTGATGAATATATTGGCATTTGTAATGACATCGTCAATTAAGATGCAATGCGTTATGAAACACAAACAATGACGCGAGATGGCGTGAACACCAGATGTGAATATAATCAGCCACCTTTAAGTATTATCGATTGCGGAATCGAAAAATAATCAATTAATTGGGAGCAGCTATGATATATCATGACCAAAACAGTAAATGACAAACCTGGCTTTTGGCTCGAATGCGAATATGACCAGTTACGGCAGCCTCGGGACCTTCATCAACAGGAATTTCAATGCTGACATTAGCCAACGCATCTTCACCAAAAATACTGCGAGCATAAAGATTTGCAGCCATAAAGCCACAGTCACCTGATAATGCCTGAAAAAATACAGCATAATTACATAACTTTTCATTGACAAGGTTTATTGGCTTGTTTGTACGGCAAAAAATTGACAATGTTTCGTTGCCAAGACGAGTTGTTTCAAAGCTTATTATTAGCATGACAAAATTACTGGATGCTGATCGGTTGAGAGGAGTACAATTATTTCATTAATTGTACTGCAGTACAATTAATGATTTTCCCAAAACAAACAAAATGGCGGAAAGGTATTTTAAACACAAATGTGAAACGAAATTGCCCTAGAGAAACTAGATGAAAATACGAACAAAAGCACCAAATTGTGCTTGAACAAAATAACTAAATGAAAATACAAACAAAAGCACCAAATTTTGGTTGAAAGTCTGGCAAGACTGGGCTTTGGCGAGAGAATATGATGTTGACATTGAGAAGTGCGTATCCAATTTTGTCATGCTAATAATAAACAAGTAATCATGCGATGTTGCTCGTACAATTAGGGATTAATAGTACTCGTGATGTTTGGAAATTTGCCAAATTGGACTCGCCCTGGCGGCTCGTCCAATTTTGGCAAAATTTCCAAACATCACTCGTATAGTAGTGCATCGCAATGATTGTCCGTTATATACCACATTTATGAGTTATGATCAACTAGTAAGGATCTAACGCTTAAAGTGGAAGTCAAGTCCGTTCTGCGCATCGGTTCTGCTCATAACAATGTGAGGACCCTCTGATGTAAACATTGCCCAAATTTCGAATGTTTCGAATTTTTCTGAACATAAACTCTATTTCATATTCATTTAGAAGCATAGCGAACCAAAATGGTGTTAGATATTCAGACAGTACATCATATTTTTTAAAAATACAGCAGTTCAAAATGTAAACAAACCGTTTGTTTACATACGGACTTCACTTTAACTAAGTGTCCTATAATCTTATTTGAATATTCCATCACTTGACTTTTTGTCTGATTTGCATTTTTTTGTTGTTATGATCATACTAGTATTATAGCAGTATAATAATTATAGCATATCGCACTGGCATTTGAAGCTTATTTCATTGCATATTTTATTTACAAGTTCACTTTTTAATTTGCATTTTATTGCAGACTTTGCAGAGCTATATTTACCATTTTACCTCATTGTTGTGATGGCAGGGGTGGGTAACAGAATTAATTTCTCTCAAATATTTAAAAGGCTGCTGATGTTAGTGTGCACAGTGTAAATAAAGTACAATAGTTGTAAGTTGAGTAAACAGAGTTATCTCAAAATGTTGAAATATTCTCTGGAAAATTTTCTGCAAAACTCTCAACTCAAAAAAAATTCTGGGAACTAGGTTCACAGGTTGGTTCCGAAACTTTTCCCACCTCTGATTCTCAATCTCGTTCCCCGAGCCTGCGATCCTCGTTAAGGAACGCGAGGCTCTGGGATAATCCGTTTCAGGGAGGAATCTGATTGGGCGTTGAAATGGAATGCGTTAGTTCAATCTTAGCCAGAATTCCTGGCTTCCGGCAACGGATTATCCCAGAGCCTCGCGTCCCT